GTTTACTCGGCAGACTGATATACTATTTAATATTGTATATATATAAAAGCTTATGGTTGTAAAATGGCACAGCTTTTTAAATATCTGAAAGTACACTCTTAACATCAGTCAGTCAAGCATTATAATTATGATAATCAAGCATTATTTAATGATTGAACTTTAGTAATTAGAATTAAAATTGGTAACCATGTATGAATGCATTTTTCTCATTTTAACTGAACTTAGGACTGATGGTGGTGCTTAAGATATTGTTGGTCATTCAGTGTTTCTGTAAAAAAAAAAAAAAAATACACTAACAATAATACTGATAAGATAATAATAATACAAAATTCCACTACTAATAACAATATAAAAAGCACTAAGGATTAATGAGCTGCTGGGTTCATGAATATTAATGACGTTGTCTGCATTCGCTCGAACTGATTTGCTGAAATCAAAACAGGGACGATAATAGGTGAGCGCCAGCCAATGAGATTGCCGTTTGCGCATTAGTTCCGCCCCCTAACGAAGAAACCGGCAGTATCTTATGGTTGTTCTTAAAAGCTGAAGAATTCCAAATTAACTCTGTTATTTTGACAGGAAGATAGAACAAAGAATATTGTTTATATGTAGCGTGTCAATTCTGCATGCTATGTAAGACTCTCTCTCTCTCTCTCTCTCTTTACATGTGTGAGAAACAGTGCTATCAGCAAAGCGACAGCGAGTCATGCGCCGTCACACTAGAGTTTACGGTACGTCAAATACAGGTACGCTGCGCATCCATTGAGATGAATTAAAAATAGCACAGATCGCTTGATGGAGAGTGAAACTCTGAAGCGCTCAGTCAGAGTGTTCGGCGACTGAAAATATACCTGTGCTAAACTTATACTTGGCCTCCAACTCACACACTGGCGAGTAAAATCTAAGAATTTATTAGCCAATGGCTAATGTTAGATATCATTTAGTCACCCAGAGTGAAGATTTAGTCGCATTTGCGAGTGATTTACATTTTACAAGTTAACTTTACAAGTAAAAATGTACAAATATACAAGTAAGCTCAATGGTTTTCAACTGGTTTTGCTTCAGGATACAGATCTTTCATTGGACGTCAAGTGGCAGTCCAAAAAAGTACTTTTCAAGCCACGGTTGGACCTTACAAGTGACATTTTACAAGTAAAACTACATGCATTCTTTAAAACATTACAAGTAATTTTTTTACAATTGTATGCATACTTACATTTTTGCTTGTAAACATCCAATGCAGATCTTGCATTTAACATCAAGCAGCAGCTTAAAACAGTACCTTATAAGGCACCGTTGAACCTTACAAGAAACACTTTACAAGTAAAACTACATGCATTCTTTAAAACACTACAAGTAATTTTTTAACAATTGCACGCATACTTAAAATTTTCCTTGTCAATGCCAAATGCAGATCTTGCAAAGAATGTCAAGTGGCAGCCCAAGATAGTTCTTTACAAGATACTGCTGGACCTTGCGAGTAAAATTCTACAAGTAAAATTAGATGCATTCTTAAAATCCTACAAGTCATTTTTATTTTACATTTTATGCATACTGAAAATTTTGCTTGTAAATGTCCAAAGCAAATCTTGCATTGAACGTCAATTGGCAGCCCAAAGCAGACCTTACAAGATACTTCTGGACCTGATAAGTAAAATTTTACAAGTAAAATTGCACACATTCCAAAAATCTTACAAGGAATTTTTGTTTTATATTTTATGCATACATAACATATTGTTTGTAAATGTCCAAAGTAAGTCTTGCATTGAACGTCAATTGGCAGCCCAAAACAGAACTTGTAAGATCATTTTGGACCTGACAAGCAAAATTGCATGCATTCTTAAAATTTTACAAGTAAATATATATAATTTTTTTTTTTTTTTTTACAATTGCATGCATACTTAAAATTTGGCCTGTAAATGTTGAATGCAAGATCTGCATTAGATGTCAAGTGGAAGCCTAAAACAGTACCTTACAAGATACTGTTGGACATTACAAGTAACATTTTACAAGTAAAACTGCACGCTTATCTATAAAACTACAAGTATTTTTTTACGATTGCATGCATACCTAAAATCTCAGTCCAGAAGAAAAACCAGTCATGAACCCCTGAGCTAGACAATGAGAAGACAAAGATGCTAAAAGCCCAACAGGCTGTCATTCATTCATTCTTTCTTTCTTTCATTCATTCATTCATTCATTCATTCATTCAACACGACGCATCATCCATCCAAGTTACCTATTCCACCTGAACCAAAGCCAGCTTCATAGAAACATCCAACCCTACTGCAATAAAAACCACAGTTGCACGCCACGTCAATTTTCTCATGAAAAAGGGCTTTGTGCACGAAACCACACATCCAGATCTTCCATTACAGTCTGTTGAAAAATGCGCACTTACACACACGCTCACACACCAGGGGGACAGAACAGGAGATGATGTCACCGACTCAACCAGGGGAGATGCGTAGTGCACAGAAAACAATTAGAACAAACCTTATGGCGATACATTGCACTAATATAAGGTCCTCTCTGGATCCAACTGTATGCAAGCAGATTATTTGCATGCAAAGGATGAGAGCTGCGGTTATGTAATGATGTGGCAGAGAAAATAAGGCACAATGGGGAGCAGCTGAGATGTACAGATGTGACATAAACCTTAAATAAACACAAAAGCTCTCATGCATCTCACATGACAGCTGAAGGATCTCGAAAAGAGGCCATTGAGAGGGTTGCCAGGTATCAGAACAGAACGAAACACTATGCATGCAATCTATGTTGCCCGGCTGCACAAATCACAGACACTGCATTCATTTTGAGCATCATATGGATGGATTATATTGACATGCAGCAGAAATTAAACCCTGGCGGTTACATAAAGGCATATGCATGGCGTCCGAAGCAACCTGTCCCTAAAATCAGCGTGCAAGGTGAATGCACGTTTTATGCCTCTGTCTGTGCATCATGTCAGGGATCTGGAAGCTTGCATCGGCTGGTTTGGTTGCTATGCAATGGGATAAAAAAGGAAGACAGGGCATGCATGCAATGGTGACACCGATACAGAAATACAACCATAAAGCATGCTTACCTTCATATACAGGTCTAGGAGAGTCCAGTGAATTGAAGATTATCTTGAATTATGATGAAAGGAGAATAGGAGGGGGGAGAGGACAAAACAGCAGCTCATCTGCAGGTAAATAACCACATTGCTGTAGATGTTCACATTACATTCAAATCAGGGGGCCTCTGGCACAGTAATAAATAATATTTCCAAAACGGGAACGCAATCCTGGCTTCTTCTCGGGTGCGGTGCATTAAATAAAAGCCTCAGACGCAATTGCAATCATCTCTGTGGCTGCTGGCCGGGTTTAGCTCTATAATCCCGCATATGTCTATGTATTGCTGCTACTGGCTGCTGCGGCTGCAACGTGCAGCGTTAACATGGCGCAACCGCTCACGCCCCGCCTACATTCTCATAGGTCTGTCGTGGGGGCGTGGTCGAAACGCGGGGGCGGGGCCTGGAATGCACAGATAAGTTCAGTTCTTACTCGAGAACGAACGATAGATAGATAGATAGATAGATAGATTATTGTCATTTGTGTAAATTTACTTTAAAACAGGCTAAATTGATAATTTTATTTTGTCAGATTAAAATGTGTGATGGAATATCATAGATATCCCACATATTTTAAAAACTAGCCCCTACATTATTAACATCACCAGCTTCTGGCCCAAGCGCTCGTGTGTGTGTTTGTAGCTCCATCTACTGGAGAGGATCTAAAGTTATACAAGTCTCATTTCCAAGGTGCGACCTGAATCTGCGCCTCAAACACAATTACATCACATTAACACTTTATAGACGACAGCAACTCTAGACAAACGAGTCTAGAAGGTTCTAGCAGCTCTAGATGACAATTTGAACACGGGTGGGGGGGGGGGGGGCGCGGGGGGGGGGGGGGGGGGGCTTCGAGAGAAAGCCTGTCTGTTACTAGGCAACCATTATGAAGTTATTAGTGATTCTAGAACACATCACCGCTACAGATCAGTTTCCAGCATATTCTGCTGTAGTAAATTACATAATTTGTCTGTGTACAAATGAGCCGGAAACCAAAATGTCTCTTATCTTTAGCTGAAGGAGCGTGGCATGTGAAACATGCACATCATTCAGTCGAATCACAGCATCAGCCCGTCAGTTCGAAATGGATGCGTTTTGATGGATTTAAAACCCATGTCAGTTTTGAAATTCGATTTTTAACCCCAAAATATAATATCATGACTGTTATTAAAAAGTAGCCTTTTTTTTTAGTAGATTTTTTTAGCTAGTAAATACCCTGGTACATGATTTTTTTTTTTCACCATGATACTGTACACCGTGCATCTAAAGTCCTATCAACAAGCCTGAACACTTAAAATGATTGACAGGTGTAGAGCGTTGTTTATGGGTAATGGGCATTTTATGTGTACTAAATATTGATTTATATTTATAAATATTTATATGATTTAATTTGTTATTTTTGTCCAATACAATACAATGTGTAGTCGATTTAAAATCTGTTCCATTCCCTCTTTTAAATACCCACTTTATACAGTTGTTTAATTATTTATTCGAAATTCTTGCTACATTTTTCATTTATTTGTCTAATAAAATGAGTAAAACGAATGTATAAAGCAATATTAACATTAATACTTATGCACTCTTTGAAATAAGACTCATGCGAGGGTTTCCAAACTGAGCTCTGACAGTGGAACGTACCAAAACCGAGAGGAAGAGGGGTGTCCAACTATCTGTTTTTCACATTTATTCTTAATATTTACATCTAAAATTTTGTTTCATCCATTTTTACAGAAAAATATATATCAAAATAATCAAAATCACAAATATATATCGTGAAGTCTTTTAAATAAGTGTGATATTTGTCAAAGAGCTGGCCGGTTTCCCCCTGCCAGCGCTGTAAGTCAGTGTAAACTAACAGTGAACGCTCTCGAGAGGTGTGAGGAACTGAAAACGGCTCTTCGCGCGGCCCGATAAAAAGCACCTGCATCCAGTTGTATAACAAATAGACAAACGTTTCCGCGTGTGTATTTACTCGGTAATGTCGGCTGCAACATTTGTGGAAACGGAACCGTCTACTGGCATATGCTGTCGTCTTGTGTTAAGGTAATTTTTAATGCATATCATTAAATCTCGCATGACAATTAAATGCATGCTGATTACATCTATCCACAGCACAAAGGAATAAAATCGCGGTTTCTATATATTAAACAAGCGTTTATTATGAGAACTGGATGTTTTATATAGATGTTTTACCCGTTGAATTGTGCGTTTATGCATTATGCATGAACATATTAAGGTGAATTGCAACATTAAGCAGTTGCACACGCAAATCTCAAAATGCAAAAGACACTGTTTCCTTTTTGCCAGGAAGATGCTTTCATTGCAATGCAGCTGCATATAATGGAGAACATAGATATGCACGTACTAAGATCAAGCTTAATGGGTAATGCATCAGGGCAACCCGGACAGATTGGTCCAGGTGGGTGTACTGATATGCACATATCACATATCATGAGCAAATATATAGTCAAATTATAGTCAAAAAGAAACTGTACAGTTGTGTGTTGAAAAGTAGGTACAGTACGTGACAGTTGTTTTTACTAAAGAAAGGCCGATTAATCAACCGATTTTCTTTAGATTAAAACACTTAGCCATAACTGCACCCAATTTACACCTTGTCCATTACGAAATATTACGAAATATTGAAATACTTACATTTTGTTTTCAGTTAATTTTAGTGAGCAATTGTAAAAAAATATTTTCTTGAATATTAAGATACTCACGTTTTGTTTTCTGTTAATTTTAGTGAGCAGTTGTTGTGAAAATGTACTCACATATTTTTAAATTCAATAAAAATTATATATATACTGTATATATATATATATATATATATATATATACAATTGCGTAAATCAAATGTAGCTTTTAAGTAAATATTTAATTAAATATTAAAAATGATAAATTATGTGAAATTATTGTGCAATTATGGAGTCCAATATTTTTACATATATATATATATATATATATATATATAGAGAGAGAGAGAGAGAGAGAGAGAGAGAGAGAGAGAAATGATCAAATTAATCAATACTCACATTTTGTTTTCAGGTAATTTTAGTATTAACTAAAATAATTTCTATTTTAGCAATTATTGTGAAAATAACAATTATTTTAAAATTATTAAAATTAATAAAATTATTTTATTTAAAAAAACAAATATTTTAAAATGTAATATAAATATTGAACAAATTATATATACAATTAGGTAATCAAAATTAATGTTTATCTTTTAAAGGAGTATTTACTTAAATATTTAAAAAATGTTAACATTCAAAATTGTAAAAATTAAAACATACTCAATCTTAGTTTTTTTTTTTTTTGGATAGTGTATTTACAGACATAAGATTGTAATATTTATATTGACAACAGCATTGTTCAAACACAGTTTTTCGCAACACGAATAGCCGATTTGTTGTATTTTAAGACTGTGGTATAAACTGGGGAAAAAAAGGCCCAGAAACAATTTTTGCTCAAAAAAATTGCTTGTAAATTTCAAAATGAATCACAAAGAAACAATAAGTGACACACTGATTTAAACATGAAATGTATATAATAGTAGTTCCTTGTAAAACGAACTCCAGTAATCTCTGTATTATTTACAAATTCATAAAGTCATGTAGGAAATCACACATTGTCCAAAACGTCCTATAATATGAGTGGTACAAGGCCCGTTTTAGATCCAGGTGGTTCTGTGATCCTAAGAAGTGGAGTCATATTCCTGCAAAAAAACTGGTGTAGAAACACTTTTAACCCAGAAATTACCAAGAAATGGCAAGTAACACATCGAATTAAATTAAAATTTTAACGTAGAAAGACTGAAATTGTATTTTCTTGTAAAACATTCTCCAATAATCTCAAATTCAGCAAGTCATGTATGAAATCACGGACTTTAACTGTACACATTATCTAGAATTTCCTATAAAATGAATCATAAATGGCCTGATTTAGAGCCAGGTGTTTTTGAGATCCCTAAAAAGTGGAGTCATATTCCTGATGATTTCAGAAAGGAAATCCTGAACTTCCCTGTATTGTGGCTGACAGGAAGGCGACTGGAGGAGATGTGTGATACTGACATCAGGCCTAAAGATCCAACACTTCAGGGTGTTAAAATCAGAGCTTGTGTTTGTGGTTTGGAGGTTGGGTTCTGTATTTTGGAAGTCTTTGGCGTAATTTTATTCGTCCAGTTTTAGCTCAATCTGTCTGAGTCTTTCTTGTTGTTGGCAGTTTGGAGCTGAGATCACACTGCAGAATCACAGCGTGGCAATCCTAGTGTCTCGTCTAGACCGTATTTCCTGTGTGTCTAGTTGGATGTCTGGGAAAAGCCTCGGTTTGCACACTGCTTCTTTATGCCAATGTAGAGTCCATTAGTGACATTTCAGACGTTAAAAGTCTGTTGTTTTTTCTCTTAAAGGAGCAGCTCACTTCAGCTCACAAGTTCTGTCATTGTTTATTCACCCTCGTGTCGTTCTAAACTCACCTTATTTCTTTTGTAAAACACAAACAGATGTTTTGAAGAATGTTCTTTTGTGTCAGATTTTTTTGTTCTCAACGATTCAGTGGAAAAAGAACCTTAATGATTCATTTATGAATCATACTTTTCCAGTTTTCGGGTTCAACTTACTGACTCGATGTTTTCCTGTGATATTATTCTGTTTGAACCTGAATATTCAGAAGAACGTAATAAGGATTTATTTTCTGGGATTAGATTGTTAAAAGTAAAACATTATTGCTTAATATTGTTTTTCCAACCCTATGTTATTATAATTTGTTTATATTTATTAAAATGATTAATTTTATTACTGTTTATATAATTATATTATTTTTAGATCTTTTAAATATTTTTACCTTATTGTTACATTATTCTTGTGTTTTATTTGACATAATAGTTATAGTAATAATAATAATTATTATTATTATTATCATGCTCAAGCATCATGTGTTATTTTTTTGAATGCAAACCAATAAATAGTTGTTATTAATCATATTTTAATAATAACAATAGTGATCACAACAATCATAATTCAATTTTAAAATAATCATTATTAATAATAATAATATATTTTATATTATTTTATAATACATGTTTATATTTTTGCATTACTAATACATTACTCTTATTTTTATTTTGCATACTTTTTATTGTTTTAGTATTATTTATATCATTATTGATCAATCCATTTGGTATTATTAATTTTGATTTGACAAAAATGCCAATAAAAATATATTTTTATATTAATATTTTAATAATAATAATCATAACAGTCCTTATTAATATAATACTACTTTAATTATGAATTATTTCATTATTAACATAATTAAAACTACTAGTAGTACTAAGAATAATAATAATTACTACTAATAATAATAATATATAATTTAATATTATTTTATAATATATTTTGATGTTTATTTTTTTTGTACATTATTCTTATTTTTATTTTACATAATTTTTTTATTATTTTAATATTTATTTTATTATTATTAACATCATCATTATTGATAAATCCATTTGTTATTATTATTTTTTTTTACATGAATACAAACCAATAAATATATTATTATTATTATAAATAATATATTAACAACAACAACAACAATTGTAATAATGATCATAATAACTATAATTTATATAATAATAATAATTATTAGTATTAATAATAATAATCTTACAAAAACAAAAATTACATTGTGTGTTCTGATAACAAAGAAACTCCATAAAGCCACGAGTGCAAATGTACTTTATAATACTGAATAATTTCAGCTGATTAATTAACACAGATTCATCACAGTATGCGTTTGTACACGTTCCTACCTCTCATCACACACCATTGTCTCTGTATTGCAGGTGTAGCTGTCTCCATGGCGACCAGCGTGGTTCCCGGGGACAACCTGCCCACATATAAGCTGGTGGTGGTGGGAGACGGAGGCGTGGGGAAGAGCGCGCTCACCATACAGTTCTTCCAGAAGATCTTCGTCCCGGACTACGACCCCACCATCGAGGACTCGTACCTCAAACACACCGAGATCGACGGCCAGTGGGCCATTCTGGACGGTGAGCAGTTCAGTGCGAAGCCAGAAGAGAGCAGTGCAGATCCAGAGGAGCTGAAACAAATCAAATCAGCCTTTAGTCATTAAATACACAACACTGAATCATAAAGCAGTCATTTCTGATATGAAATATTTCTGAGCACAAAACATTCGGTAGAGTTAGAGTTAATAGTAACAATGTGGTCTATATCACAATAAATACAACTAAATATTAAAGACATTTTAAAGACAAATATTAAAGACATAAAAGTTGCAAAGAAAAATAAATGAAAGAGAAAAATATCAAATATTGTATTATATACCACAAGCGCATTATCTTAAGTGTTATTTTGATATTATTTGTATACTATTATAGTATTTATTAATATTTTGAATTGAATGCTTTTATTTTTACATTTACAGTTTTCATTTTTATTTTAGTTTAAGTTTTAGCAAGTTTGTTATGTGCTTTTGTCATTTTTATTAGTTCAGTCATTTATTTCAGTTAGTTACTAAGGCAACATTTCTAATTTTTAGATTTTTATTTATATTTTATAAACATTTTTGTATTTTATGTCTATTAAAAATGATTTTAATCTTTTCTTTTAGTTAACAATAACAACACTGATTATATTATGCATAAATAGTTCAATGTACAATACAAAGATAAATCATAAATAATATTTTAAAAGCTTAATTGAATACATATTTATACATTTGTCAAATATTTAACTTTTAACTTTTAATATAGTATATTAAAATACAAAAAATATTTTAATATGCTACCATGTGCAATACAAAGAGGAATCATAAATGAAGAAATAAAATTAAAAAAGGTTAATTTAAAACATTTATAAATTTGTCAAATATTTTACTTTTAACTTTTAATGTAATATATATAATAATAATAATAATAATATGATACCATGTGTAATACAAAGAGAGATCATAGATTAAGAAATACATTTTTTAAAGTTTAATTTAATACATATTTATTCATTTGTCAAATATTTTATTTTTAACTTTTAATATAATATGTTAAAATAAGAAAACATAAGAAAAATACTTTAATATAATACCCTGTAGAGTATAAAGATAAACCATACATTAAGAAATACAATTTAAAAAGCTGAATTTAATACATATTTAGAATATATAGAATTTTATTCATGTGAAATACTCAACAAATTATCAACATAACAATGAGTGGAAGGTTTAATTTAAAAATAAAATAGTCAATAAAATAAGTAAATAGAAAAAAATAAAAATAAAATGTGACTAAATTAAGTAGATAAAAAAACTTTGAGGGTTTGCGGTGTATATGTGTGTTTGTGCTTATTTTTTCCATTATTTAATCTTTTATTAATAATTTTTGATAAATATTAGAAACATTTTTTACAATAATGCAAACCAGTATTGTGTGTATAAACTGGAGTGGCAATGTCTGTGTGTGTGTGTGTGTGTGTGTGTGTGTGTGTGTGTGTGTGTTTGTTTTTGTGATTTATGAGGACACTAAATTCGTATAATGACATGGGTATTACAACGAGAAGGTGATTTATGAGGACATTTTGAGTGTCCCCATATTTCAAAAGGCTTATAAATCATTCAGAATGAGTTTTTTTGAGAAAGTAAAAATGCAGAAAGTTTTCTGCGAGGGGTAGGTTTAGGTGTAGGGTTGTAGGGCGATAGAAAATACGGTTTGTACAGTATAAAAACCATTACGCCTATGGAATGTCCCCACAATTCACAAGAACAAACCTGTGTGTGTGTAGTTCTGGACACGGCGGGGCAGGAGGAGTTCAGTGCGATGAGAGAGCAGTACATGAGGACAGGAGACGGCTTTCTCATCGTGTTTTCAGTCACTGATAAAGCTAGTTTTGAACATGTGGATCGTTTCCACCAGCTGATTCTGAGAGTGAAGGACAGGTATGAACACGCATAAACACATCTGAGATGCAGACTGATATTCAGTGCGATTTATTGAGTGTTTTTATTGTGTGTGTTGCAGGGAGTCGTTTCCCATGGTTCTGGTGGCTAATAAAGTTGACCTGGTGCATTTACGCAAGATCACTAGTGAGCAGGGACGCGAGATGGCCTCCAAACACAGCGTGAGTCAAACGCCATTCACAACACACTTAATCTATCAAAGAAATACATTCTCATTTCATGTTGACTTTTTCATTCATTTTTCTAAATTATTATTTTTATATTATACATTTATATTATTATTATTATTATTATTATTAGTCTGTCCGCATTTAATTTTCTGTTGAAATATTTTCAAATATTTTACAATAACGCAAACTACTAAGTGACAATAAGACCAGCAGTTTATTAAGAAAGAGTCCATTTTGATTTAATCTAGACTTTTTCATTAATTTTACTAAATGCTTATTTTTATATTATATTTATGTATTTCTTTTAATTATATTTTGTCATTATTACATTATTATTTTAATGTTTTATTATTATTATTATTTATCAGTCCATTATTATTGAACAGTCAAATGATCTTTATATATTTTTAATTATATTTTTACATTATTATTTTTATTGTTTGAATGTTCATTATTATTATCATCATTATTATTATTATTATTTATCGGTCCATTATTATTGAACTGTCAGATTATCTTTATATATTTTTTTATTATATTTTTACATTATTATTTGTATTATTTGAATGTTTATTATTATTATTACTATTATTGATTGGCCTATTTGTTATGTAATCTTTTGTTTGATTTTTTTGTAAATATTTTTTAAAATTGTATAGAATAATGCAACTAATAAATAGTTCACAATAAGACCGGCAATGTTGTTGTTTTTTTAAGTCAATTTTGATTTCATGCTAACTTTTTCATTAATTTTTCTACATTATTATTTTTATATATATTTTTTTATATTTACCTCATTATTTTTATTATTATTGATCAATTCATTTGTTCTTTAATTTTTTTAAACATTATTATTTTATATTATATTCTTAAATGTTCACATTATTAGTACATTATTATTTTTTTATAATGTAATTTAATTTTATTGATTGATCCATTTTATTATTTAAACTTTTCTTTAATATTTTCAATTTAGCAAATATTCTTAACAATAATGCAAACCAATAAATAGTTCACAATTAGACGAGCAGTGTTTATTAAGAAATAGTCGCTTTTGATTTCATGTTGACTTTTCATTCTATTTTTCTACATTATTATTTGTATTTTATATTAATACATTATTGTAATTATTATTATTAATGATTAATCCATTGTGAAGAAATAGAATAATTAATGATTATTATTATTAGTAATAGTATTATTATTAATAATAATAATAGTAGATAATTTTCTACTAATTGTTGTATATTTATATCTTCCTCACAGATCACGTATATTGAAACAAGTGCAAAGGATCCACCCATGAATGTAGACAAAGCGTTTGACGAGCTCGTCAGAGTGATACGGTGAGTCGAATTTGACAGATTCCCTCTACTTTGACTCTCCGTATGCTACAAAGCTATGTGTTAGCATGATCGTCTCCGTTTACAGTCAGCAGATCCCAGAACGAGGCCTGAAGAAGAAGAGGAAAGCCAAATGGCGGGCAGACAGACCTTCGGGTTCCCAGAGGCTGCACTGCGTCTTACTGTGAACGCACACCCTCAATGCTCAATGCCGCGTCAATGCTGCGATGATGACTCTGTGACTCGGACTGTTAAAACACACACACAGCTATGATAATATCCAGGAACTAAAGGACACAGCTTGAATATTCCATAATTAATGACGAAATTCCCCAAAATGTGGAATTTAAGCCAATTTTCATGGGATTTTCTGAGCAGGTGAAAGCCTGGATGATCGGACAGGATTCTAGCGCTGTTCACTCACGTTATCTCTCAGAGAAAAATTCAGAGACAAACTTTCGGAGGCCTTGTTTTGTATTGTGTTTCTATATTTATTGTGCTGAATTCTATATTGTTAATTGATTGTTAATACAGCATAACGGCTTTGAAAACAACAAGGGAACAGACGGGATTCAAGTTGCACAACTGGCATTTATAGATACACTCAGAAGGAGGGGGAAATACTGGTTACCATTGTTAATCATTTGTTTTTATGAAGAAAATTAAGATATGTCAAAACAAAAGAAAAAAACGAATCGGGGTTACACACATGACACTAAAATAACATGTAAAACACATAATTAATAGCACAAAGTGTGTAAAAGTTTTTACATAAAAAGTTTTATACATTTTTAATGACTTCAACAACAATTTACCATAAAAGTGCTTGTTAAATATAAATACAGTTTTACTACATATGGTAATGTAACATGCTGTTAACTAATTAACAGATTTTTTTCTGTTGCATTTTTTCATTAAATTTGCTATCATCAACTTGGCATTTACGTCTCGCAATTCTGAGTTTTTGTCCTGCAAGTTTACATCTCACCATTCTAAGTTTATATCTCGCAATTCTGAGTTTACGTCTCGCAATTCTAAGTTTACATCTCACAATTCTGAGTTTATTCTGAGTTTACTTCTCGCAATTCTGAGTTAATATCTCACCATTCTAAGTTTATATCTCAATTCTGAGTTTACGTCTTGCAATTCCAAGTTTATATCTCACAATTCTGAATTTACGTCTTGCAAGTTTACGTCTTGCAGTTCTAATTTTATATCTTGCAATTCTGAGTTTATATCTTGCAAGTTTAAGTCTTGCAATTCTGAGTTTATATCTTGCAAGTTTAAGTCTCGCAATTCTGAGTGTATATCTCGCAAATCTGAGTTTACATCTCGTAATTCTTAGTTTATATCTTGTAATTCTGAGTTTATGTCTTGCAAGTTTAAATCTTGCAATTCTGAGTTTATATCTTGCAAGTTTAAGTCTCGCAATTCTGAGTGTATATCTCGCAAATCTGAGTTTACATCTCGTAATTCTTAGTTTAGATCTTGTAATTCTGAGTTTACGTCTCGCAAGTTTAAGTCTCCCAAATCTGAGTTTACGTCTCATTTCAAAGTTTATACCTTGCAATTCTAAGCTTACTTCTCACAATTCTGAGTTTGTAACTCGCAATTCTAAGTTTATATGTCACAATTCTGAGTTTACGTCTCGCAATTCTGAGTTTATGTCTTGCAAGTTTAAATCTTGCAATTCTGAGTTTATGTCTTGCAAGTTTAAGTCTCGCAATTCTGAGTGTATATCTCGCAAATCTGAGTTTACATCTCGTAATTCTTAGTTTATATCTTGTAATTCTGAGTTTATGTCTCACAATTCTGAGTTTATGTCTCGCAATTCTGAGTTTACTTCTCAATTCTAAGTATATACCTCGCAATTCTAAGTTTACTTCTCACAATTCTGAGTTTGTAACTCGCAATTCTAAGTTTATATGTCGCAATTCTGACTTTACGTCTCGCAATTCTGAGTTTATGTCTTGCAAGTTTAAATCTTGCAATTCTGAGTTTATGTCTTGCAAGTTTAAATCTTGCAATTCTTAGTTTATATCTTGCAAGTTTAAGTCTCGCAATTCTGAGTTTACATCTCGTAATTCTTAGTTTATATCTTGTAATTCTGAGTTTACGTCTCGCAAGTTTAAGTCTCCCAAATCTGAGTTTACGTCTCAATTCTAAGTTTATACCTCGCAATTCTACGTTTACTTCTCACAATTCTGAGTTTGTAACTCGCAATTCTAAGTTTATATGTCAATTCTGAGTTTACGTCTCGCAATTCTGAGTTCATGTCTTGCAAGTTTAAATCTTGCAATTCTGAGTTTGTCTTGCAAGTTTAAGTCTTGCAATTCTGAGTGTATATCGCGCAAATAAGAGTTTACGTCTCGCAATTCTGGGTTCACGTCTCGCAAGTTTAAGTCTCGCAATTCTGAGTTTACGTCTCAATTCTAAGTTTACTTCTCACAATTCTGAGTTTGTAACTCGCAATTCTAAGTTTGTATATCGCAATTCTGAGTTTAAGTCTTGAAATTCTGAGTTTACATCTTGCAAGTTTAAGTCTTGCAATTCTGAGTGTATATCGCGCAGATAAGAGTTTATGTCTCGCAATTCTGAGTTTATATCTCACAATTCTGAGTGTACATCCCACAACGCAATTTACAAATGGTCGCCTTTGCACTTGCGTTAAAAATTTGGTGGATATTCTTTGATTTTCCACTTAGAAATGCATGGGTAACTATGGTAACCTGGATTTGTTTATCCCAACATTAAACCACGCCTCCAATGTGTGATGTGTCGCTTGTATCTATAAAAACTCAAAGAAAGTTGCTGTTCTTACATCAGCACCCCAGTGAAGATATATAATGTTATTAATCAGGATTGTAGATCAAGACTATTATGATGAAAGTTTTGAAAATGTGATGCCTGATCACAATTATGTTGCCATTAAACTGAGTCAAATCAGTAACTGCACAAAAACGTTACAGTGTTACGTTAAGATCACAGGATTGATCTCGTTTATCTTTTTTCGCTTGTCTTGAATGCATCGTCACTTTACTTTGAATGTGTTTTTGCTTGTTTAGAAGTTTTCATTGATGTTTTGAATGTATTGTATGTTGTTCTATACCCCAATTTTGCTTTTGATGTTTCAAGTCCAGCTTTAGTGTTTAGCATATTAAAGGTTTAGGCGTTTTGTGATTGTATACTGCTCTTGTTTTTTCGTGTTATTTTAAATTTACGGAATCTGTTTTGTTTCAAAGACTGGATGTTCTCCTTACATTTTCAGTTTTGTTTGAAACTTGGTGCAAATTTTGTGGTTCAGTTATTACTTTTTTGTTTTTACTATTTTTTTTTTAAAGTAATTTATTATAAAATGACGTATTCTGTGATTATGTTTGTATGAAGATCATTAAGGCCAAAAACTGCTCTGAAAAAGAAGGGATTTTTGCATCAGGAATATTGTAAGAATTTGTAAAGTGGAATATAAACATCATCAAAATCTAATAAATCAATCAGTTGTGAATTCCTTATTTTTATTTTGTTTGAATCAGCATAAATCCCATATTGCAGTTGTCTTGGTTTATTTTTTTGTTTTGTTTTATGCACATAGGTTAAATATAATACTTAATTTAATAATTTCTTAATAATAAGTGAATAAATAACGCTTAAATAAAATAACAGAAAATTTGGCTTTGTTATAAATAGCATACTGCTTTACCATACTGTTACTATTTCCATAGGATTTTTTTGGTATTTCATTCCAACCAGCCTTTATGTTATGCATTTTCAGCCACAAGATGGCGCTATTTATAAGAAAACACTAGAGTTCTCACAAAGTGAACACTTCAAGTTTAAGAAAAACAGCCTTATTATCCACAGCATCCTTATTCTTATGCGACCTACTTTACATGAGAGGAAATCAGTCGCTGGATATGAAACGTACTGATGTCTGCACATACTCATGTTAATAATTATTATAATAGTATTAACCTCATTCACAGACAGACCCAACAATACCGTGCCCAAATGCAATTAGCGAACAGAAGGAAAGCTTAAGTGTTCTTAATTGATCATAAACATGTTGATCAAGGGTTTGCAGCACTTTCTGAATGGATTTGAGTGTGGAAAGCTAGGCTCTTGTTATTGTGCCAGTCACACAGTCACTGTGACAAAAGAAATAACAGCAATTCAAGGTCAAGGTTCCTGTAGGCCTACAACAAAAAGAGATATTTGTATTCGGCTCACTGCACCGTCACTTCAGTATATATTTTGTTTTTATTGTCTTTTTTTCTGCATGATTCATTTCATTGTTGATGGATGGATATTTACATTTAATCTTCAAAGGGTTCCATCAATTGAAACAGCTTTCAGACATCAAAAATTGACCGTTAAACTTGAACCAACCAAAGGGATTTGTCCCCAAAATTCGGGCATATCTAAGTTTCACATTTGCACTATAAAAGTCACAAGGCTGCAAATCTCTTGACTTTTCAGATCTTCGAACCATCACGAGAATATAAAAATGTTTCTGTAAAGTTCATATAAGGAAGAGTTATATGAGTATTCCCGGGTGCAGTTCAAAACACCGGTCACGAATTGGAAGCACAAAATGAGGATTTGTAAAGAAAAATGTCGGAGGATTTCGATATAAGCCAAGAGGAGACTGGTTTATATTTGCTTAAGTACGGAAACTTTGCTTCCTTTGCTCCTGCATTGCTCAGAGGCGCGCACACGACGCCTACGTCCTACGTCATCCATCTGCATGTCTTCCACGTACCACAGTCAGCGGAATTGAGAAAAAAGTGTTTATTACGTTTGAAATATGGATATTTATCTTACAAAAACGCATGG